TGTAGAGATTTTTTAGAGAGTCGTAGAATTCATTTTTATCATCCTCTAGTGCGTCTTCGGTTGGTGCATACACTAAAAATATCGTTAAATTGGACCATTTACCTCTTAATCTTATGATGCAGATTTGTTCGTTTATTGGTTTAAAGTCTAATAACTCTGATTGAAGTCTTTTATGTATTACAAAGCCACATCCTCTTTCATGTCGAGTTTCATGTCCAGACCGCAGTACTAATGACTTCTCCACGTGTATTGTTCCAGATCCTGTCCATCTCACCTCCTGAATGGCTACTACATCATAATTCAAGTTTTCTAGTTGTTTTATCGCTGTCGTTGGTTACCCAATCTTCAACAAGGTTGCTCAGGTCTCCGGGGTCCACCCGTTTGGTCAAGCCCACACTTCGTGGAGGTGAGGATAGGAATTGAGTAGGAGAGGCTAAAGATGCTAACTGGAAACAGCATCTTATAATGCGCATCACTACTCCTTTGAACCCCTTTGATATGTATATACATACATATATATATATATATATATATATATTATATATATATATATATATATATATATATATATATATATATATATATATATATAATATATATATATATATATATATATATTATATATATATATATTATATATATATATATATATATATATATATATATATTATATATATATTATATATATATATATATATATATATGTATATATATGTATATAATATATATATATATATATATATATATATATATATATATATATATATATATATATATATATATATATATAAATAGTAAACTCTTAAATATTGGGGAAATCTGCAAAAAAAACTCTAATGTGTATCAATTATTTCACCTAACGTTTTCGCCAAAGAGAATTTGGCTTCTTCAGGGCTGAAAGAGAATAAATTATAATTAGCTACCATATATTATCTAATAAAAAACATTTACCTTACCGTGAAATTTTAGAAATGTCGAGTTATGATGTTAAAAAACTTTAGCTAGTAACAACATAGTGGTGTTTTTGTTACTATGTGCAAAAAAGTTTATTTGTGAACGTTGGAAATGTATGGTAGTTTTGAACTTAAAACGCAAAGGTTTACCCAAGGACAATCGAAAAACCCAATGTAACTACATTTAAAGGAAGTTACCACAATGTAAATCAAAGCTACCATACATTTCCAACGTTCAGAAATAAACTTTTTTGCACGTAGTAACAAAAAACACCACTATGTTGTTACTAGCTAAAGTTTTTTAACATCATAACTCGACGTTTCTAAAACTTCACGGTAAGGTAAATGTTTTTTATTAGATATTATATGGTAGCTAATTATAATTTATTCTCTTTCAGCCCTGAAGAAGCCAAATTCTCTTTGGCGAAAACGTTAGGTGAAATAATTGATACACATTAGAGTTTTTTTTGCAGATTTCCCCAATATTTAAGAGTTTACTATATATATATATATATATATATATATATATATATATATATATATATATATATATATATATATATGTATGTATTGCGACGGAACCTGACGTACTCAAAAGTGAAGTTGAAGCAGCAATTATGAGGCAAAAAAGTCAAAAAGCTGCCATTCCAGATAACATACCTATTGAAATGATTTGGGCCCTAGATGACGTTGGAGTGGATATAATACATCAAATTTGTCAAAGAGTGTGGGAGACAGGTAAATGGCCTGAGGACTGGACACAATCACTATATATTCCCATACATAAAAAGGGAGCGAAAGATTTATGTAGCAACTATCGCACAATTGCTCTAATTGCACATTGCAGTAAGATACTCTTACACATAATTCTCGAGAGGATAAAGCCCTTTTTACTGCCTAACATTGCGGAGGAACAAGCAGGTTTCGTCCCAGGACGTGGTACTAGAGAACAAATTTTAAACGTACGGCAGATTGTAGACAAATCCAGAGAATTCAACATCACAACATATTTGTGCTTCATAGATTATAGTAAAGCTTTCGATTTGGTCAACTGGAGTAAAATGTGACAGGTTTTGTCTAAAATGGGAGTCTCTAATCATCTGATACTGCTAATTAAAAGCCTGTACAATTACAATTATGCCAGAGTTAGAATAAATGGGGAACTAACTGACAGTTTCAGGGTCACAAAGGGCGTGAGACAAGGCTGCATACTAAGCCCAATTTTATTTAACATCTATGGTGAATGGATAATGCGGAAAGCTACTGAGGACTGGAACGGTGGCATCACCATTGGCGGGAAGAAGATTTGCAACTTGAGATATGCAGATGATACTACTATCCTCGCTAGTTCTGAAACTGAATTGATTCACCTGCTACAACGGATAGAAGACGTAAACTTAACGATGGGCCTTAAAATAAACAGGGATAAAACGAGAATCATGATAATTGACAGAGCTAACAACAATCAAAATCATCTGGTTAGGATAAACAATATCGCTGTTGTAGATAAATTTGTGTATCTGGGCTCATTAATAACCAACAAAGGAGGCTGTACTGAAGAAATAAAGCGGCGGTCAGCAATCGCAAAAAGCGCTATGGCAAAATTAACAAAAATTTGGAAAAGCCATGAAATTACTACCGATACAAAAATGAGAGTAGTAAGAAGTCTAGTTTTTCCAGTTTTTACTTATGCATCGGAATGCTGGACCCTTACTGAGAAAGACAAAAAGAACATAGATGTATTTGAGATGTACTGCTGGAGACGAATGCTGAGAATACCATGGGTGGCCCGAAGAACAAATAAATCCATACTGGTCCAGCTAAACATAAAGAAAATACTAAGAACACAAATAACAGAACAGATAATAAGCTATTTTGGACATGTGCTTCATAGAAATGGTCTTGAAAAACTTACCATCCAGAGAGAGAAAAGTAGAAGGCAGAAGAAGTAGAGGTAGATCTCCTACACGATACACGGACCATATTGTTGCTACCATTGGCGCTCCATTGTCAGAATGTGCTAGAAGATAGAAAAACGTGGAGGAACATTGGAAAAATTACCTAACAGCTTCATGATATCACGATACCTGCATCAGGTTAACGACTAAGAAGAAGAAGAAGTATGTATGTATAATATTACAAATATTCAATCAATGTATTGTGATGATTGACTTTTTTATATTAGAAATATAGCATAAACTTTTTTCAAAATAGAAGAGGTATAGGATATTAATTCAGATCACTTTCCTATTATTATAAAAATCAGTGAAGAAGCGATACAGAAGGAGTTATCTTTTAGTCTAGTAAACAGAAGATTAATTGAGAAAGCTTCAAACAATAACTGGGAGCAATTCTGTAAAGTTAATAATAATCGAACAACTTGACTTCGAAGAAGAGCTATTTACAAACAGATCCAAGAAGCAGCATGAAACAATACAACAACCAACCTAACTCGAATAAAAAGAAAAAAGTACCTAAAAGAAAGAATGAATATGTTCTCGGAAAATAGGAAGCAAGATAAAAATGGCAACCGTGCAGATATCCACCTCATAAAACAGAAAAAAATGAATCAATTGGACAATAAGCATCGACGTATAAAAAAATCACTGACTATTCGTTCTAGAAGGCTACTAAGAAACTGAAAAGACCTATCATACTCAACCCTCCAATAAAAAATATAGATAGTAGCTGAGCCAAAAACAATAAAGAAAGCTAAACGTTTTGTAGAATATTTAAAAAATACATTCAAACCAAGCGAGGGAGATGACCTTAAGAAACTGACTGATATTTACCAAGACGAAATTAAATTTGCTACTTGCAAACAAGTTCAAAGGGAAACAAATCAAATGATTAGTCCTAGAAAAGCGCCTGGGTCCGATTTGGTAACAGGAGAAATATTAAACAGCTTCCAAAAATGGAGAAAGTTACTTACATACTAAATGCATCCCGATATACTGGAAAGTTGCGAAGGTCATAATGAAAACAATGCTAGATAAATGGTCAAGTGAAGTTTCAGCAGAATACAGACCTATATCTCTGCTTCTTATATTATCGAAACTTTTTAAAACACCGTTTTTAAAAAGATTGAATCCAATAGAAGACGAAAGGGAACCTCATACCACCTTATCAGTTTGTTGGATGATCAAATACTAGGATAACTAATTTAATAGAAATCGCATTGAAAGGAAAGAAAGTTTGTTTAGCCGTTTATTTGAATGCTGCTCAAGCTTTCAAAAAAAGGAAAATTACAATTAATGGTATAAAATCAGTGCATGTCAATACTGAAGTGATAGAAAGGTTTGATAATAGAATACTAAGGACCAGTGTTGATGCCCTTTGACCAGTAGAACAAATAATTGCCAAATGTGCCAGCAAACATTAACAACGTCTACTTTAATATGTAACTATCAAGACCACCCAACTTCTGGACAACATAGATATAGAAAGAAGGTTGAAAAAGAAAAAACCCTTCGAGTTATTAAAGTGCAAATAGTTAGCTTATAAAAGCAGCGTATTATGCGAGCTTAATATACATGTGTAATGCGTAAATATTACTGTAATTAAGTTAGTACGAATAAAAACATAACTGAATGAAGCTATAGTCCTTAAAATGTCAGCTGCAATAATTTAAGTTATAATAAAACTATTCACTAATCTTTTTGATCAGATTGTAGTACAAGGTAACCCAGCTTATTGGTATACTAAAAAAAATGTCTCATGAAAAAAGATCAATATTATTTTTATAATATCTAAAAAAGTAATAAATGTAAAAATATATTTTATTTTTATTTCAGCGCACCTCAAAAATTTTTCGCCCGGGCGGTCAACCGACTTGCCTGTCCCTTTATCCGGTCCTGTTGAGATTGTTACATATCTCAACATTACACATTACCAAATAAAAAACATATTATACACTTATCTCTTCAAAGGTCTTCAAAAATCTTTGAACCTTTTGTTCAAAGGTTTGTAAAATGCTATTTTTCCTAATAAAAGGTTTTTTTCCACATTTTTACTTACAAAATTACGAAAAATTTCAAACCTACTTACCACAACAACTGCTACCAATGTTCCACTATCCTCAGTTGAAGCATTTTTTGGTATTAGAGAAAAATAAACAGGAGTAAACAATAACAATATATTCCACACTGCTATCGCTAACCTGGCCGCGCCACATCTATTCATGTTTAAAATAATACTACTAAAAAATTCGCATGTGTTCGCAGCATTCAGGCTGAGAAAATATTATAGAATGTGCCAGCGTAGGAGTTTTTTACGTAGAACATTTAGTTTCCGCATATTTAGGAATAATTCACAATTTGTGTCATTTAAATAATTTGCTTAAATTTTTTTTAGACTTTTGACAGCGTCATTATTATCAATATAATTATTCAGTATGGTAAAATAGCAGTTAACAAAATTATTAAATTATATTTTTGCACCTAAAATCGTATTTATTATTATTAATTTCTTAATAATAATCATATTTATTTTAATAATATTTATATATTACCTACTATAATTCGCCTGGGAATTGAAATGAAAATTTCATGGGAATGACAACTACGCATGTACTCATGGGTTGAAAACACCATACTTATTGGAACCCTGTAACTTACATCTTTATTGTTATTGCAATGCAGTACGCATTTTTAATCTGAAATAGATATACAAATAGAATACAAATTATTGTATGAGGAATTTAGGTTAATACGAGATGCTATTTGAGTTTCTAGAATAATGGAAAATCGTTGACTTGAGAAACATGAGTTGTAATTAGGCAATGCACACTCGTGCGGAGCATACTTCCTAATAAAAGGTTTTTTTCCACATTTTTACTTACAAAATTACGAAAAATTTCAAACCTACTTACCACAACAACTGCTACCAATGTTCCACTACCCTCAGTTGAAGCATTTTTTGGTATTAGAGAAAAATAAACTGGAGTAAACAATAACAATATTGTTGGGAATTTATCTGTATTGAACAGCCAGCAATTGACGGATTTGTAGTTAACTGTTTTATTTGGGTAAAAACAACTCAAATTCCTACAATATATAAAATTAACAATATAAAAAAACTAATTAATTCCCATTATTTACTGTTCTCTTGCTGTCAGTTTGATTTGGAGTTTTGATATTATATTTGACATAGTTCATGAAACAGTAGCAACGGGAAATTTTGGGTAACATGATAAAACTAAAAATTAACTAAGTACATTTTATACAAATAATAAATATTCGTAACACTCCCACCCGGTACAATTCGATGAGAAAAAGAGACTGTACCACTTATTTTTCATCATCTTTTTGGTCTCAATTTATTGGTATTACCGCTAATTTTATAACAGGACGTTCATATTTTCCACTTTTTGTTTGAACTATTGCTCGTCGCACTTGCCCATCAGGTGATTTTTTAACTTCAATTACCTTACCCTTTGGCCAATTGCATCTTGGTAAATCTTTATCACATATAATTACAATAACTTGTTTATGCCAATTTGCCCTAAGTAGTAGTTCAGGTATGTATTCAGAAATAAAGCGTCGCCAACATTTATTTGCAAATTGCTCTCTGTATAAATAATTAAATTTAAATACTTTAATATCTTCGTTTAAAAATCCAATTGGTTTATCTCCGTTTGAAGATCCAATTAAAAAATGATTTGGAGTTAAAGATTCAAATTCGTCAGATTCTATTGGAAGATAAGTAATTCTTAAAAATCGAAACACATACGCAGTTGCTCTTAAAATTCTATTAAATTGACTAAATCTTTTAAAATCAATTAAAGGTGGACTACTACATTTTACTTCATGAGTGGTTAATATTTCATCAGCCTTTTCCTTTTTTAAGGGTGATGTCTGGAGGCCAACCGTTTTCTAATTGATACAGAAAATCAGGACCTTTAAACCAACATCTCGTGTTTTTTAAATTGGGACTTTTTGTCCATTTGGTAGCTTCGTCGGCTATGTTATTCTTAGTAGGTACATCTCCAATGTGATACCATTGAGTTTTGTTGAATTTCGGCCACTCTGTAAGCTACATATTTTGGTAATTTTCTTGGGTCTACATTTCTTAACCAGCTTAAAACTGTTGAAGAACCTGTACAATAAACAATGTTGTGCACAGGTATGAAAAGATGTTGACAAAGGTTTTTAGCAAACCTTGAACCCATTACTGCACCATTAAGTTCCAGTCGAGGAATAGTTTGTGGTTTTAATGGTGATACATGTATTTTCGCTCCAATCAACGTACACTCTATGACATCTTTTTTCATTATTCTTAGATATGCCACACAAGCACTTGCGTGTTCGCTGGCATCTACAAATATGTGCATTTGCGTATTGGTATCCTTCCAGCTTTCGAGTTTATTAAAAAAGTACCTTGGAATTGAAACCTTCTCTATTTCTGGAAGCTGTTTCAACCAAACAAGCCATTTTTGAAACTGTTCATTAGTTATTGGTTGATACCAAGAAATGTTGCTCCTCCATATTTCCTGTAAAAGGATCTTCACATAAATAAATAAGTTTGCTAACAAACCTAAAGGGTCATATATAGACATTAGGATTAGTAAAATTTCTCGCTTTGTTTGCTTTCTTAATCCACTTAAAACATCTTTGTTTCCTTTATTACATTTTAAATTGAAAATAAAATTATCTCCCTTTAAATCCCACCACATTCCTAAAACCTTCTCCATGCTCTTACTGTTCCCTAGATCTAGGTTGACTTCTTCGTTATTTCCATAAGTGGTGTTTATGATTTTCATTAATTTTTCAGAGTTTGATCTTCAGTTTCTTATTTCAAAATTTCCGCTGGAGTGAATTAAGGCAATTTTTTTTGCTAATTGGATAGCTTCATCGTCAGTGTCTGTTGATTCTAAGAGATCATCGACATAATGATTATTTACTATGGAATCAACAGCTCTAGAATATTCCACACTAAATTTCTTCGCATTAGCGTTTTTAACAAATTGTGCACAACTGGGTGAGCAGGTAGCTCCGAAGCTCATCACAGTCATGACGTAAACTTCCAAAGGATTATCAGAGCTACCATTGCGCCACAAGAAGCGTTGTGCATGTTGATCTTCTTCTATTATACCTACACGAAGAAACATTTCCTTGATGTCTCCAGAAAAGCCAATCTTTCTTCCACGAAATCGTAGGAGGACGCCTAATAGAGAAGCAAGTTGGTCATCTCCTTTTAATAACATGGAATTTAAGGATATTCCCTGCACGGTTGCTGCTGCATCCCAAACTAATCTGAATTTGTCAGGTTTGTTAGGATTAAAGGCCGGAAATATGGGAAGATACCATGTTTTTTCTTGATGCTGTAAGAGTTCTTGTTCTGACAGTTTTCTAATATATTCCTTTTCTAGAAAATTTTGAATTTGTTGATTAATTTTGATACCTAGTTTTGGATTTTTCTTAATTTTTCTCTCTATACACTCCAGTCTTTGAATAGCCATGGGTTTACTATTAGGGAGTTTCAAGTTGTCATATTTCCAGAGTAATTTAATTTTATATTGGTTATCAATTTGAACTAGGGTGCTTTCTTGTATACGAATAGCCCTATCTAATTCTTTGGAAACAGACGGTTTAGTATTTTGAACTGCGAGGCTTTCAACTGAAAAGAAGTCTTTTACAGTATTTTTGGTAGAGTTCTTGGTCTGACGCATCTTCTAAGCGTTGTTGGTTTCCAGTCTATTTTAAGCAAAGTTGTTCTGGCTCTCCCATTATATTTAGCTTTTTACCAATACTTTCTTCTAACAAAGTAACGGAAGACCCTTCATCTAGAAAGGCAAATGTAGTGACATCCCTACGTCCATTTCTTAAAACAACGGGAAGTATTCGAAAGCGTGTTCCTTGATGTGCCTTATTTTCTTCATCTGCAGATAAGAGGTGTGATTCTACTGTTTGCATACCGTTTTCCTTTTTGATAAGCTTTGTACTTTTATTAGACATTTGTTCTGAAAATTCATGAAGAAGAGGATGATGCTTCCTTTGGCATTCTTCTTTTTTGCATTTTACAGGATACTTACAGGAAAATCTGTGTTTCTTTGAGCAAAGCCTACATAAATTTAAGGCTTTAAGAGACTACCATCTTTGAGATAATGAATATCTCTGAAATTCTGAACAATCTGCAATCTTTTTACAATCTCCCTGATTACACAGTTTACAATTATGTGTTTCACTGGAGGCATTTGGTTCATGTATACTAGCATGCACAATATTATTAAATTGCCTTTTGTTATTACTTTGGTCATTAAGTGCTAGTGTAGGAAGAACAGAACAAACATTTGTTGCTAGATTATACAACCAATCAGCAAGTTCACTTAATCCCTGAAATTTATGAAAAGCACTGCGATATATCGCCCAATTAACTTTAATTTGTGAAGGTAGTTTCTCTAATAACTCATGCATAAGGGTAGGGTTATTAATGTAGTCTTTTAAATTAGATGCTTCTAATAAAACACATAAATTTTTGACTGCTAAAGCAAATTCTACCAGAGTTTCAAGTTTTTCCGGTTTAGGAGATGGTAATCTACGAATAGAATTTATAATATGAACTTCAATAATTTGCTCAGGTCTTCCAAAAAGGATTTTTAACGTAGCTATAATTTGGGGCACACATTGAGGTAAAATTAAAAAAACTTGAAACACTGACTGGACCTTTTAACATTTTTGTAATCTTAATAAACTCTCATGATTATCTACTTGACATAGCTCAGTAGATCTTTCAAAACTACTAATAAAAACAGGCCAATCATGTGGATTGCCATTAAAAATAGGGAGATCTCCAGTATCTCTTCTTTTATATAATATACCTGAACTTCCATCGTTATAAGTTGGCAGAGGCTTACCAAGTGTTGGAGTTAAAGGGGGTTAAAGGGGCAACATTGTCGATAAATGGCTTATCTATATTTAAAGAAAGGAATTTATTGACCAAAGAGTTAGTTTCAATTATTTCCTCTTCGTCGATGTCCTGACCATCATTAGAGCACTCATCTTCTTTTATAATTCTCCTAGACTCCTTGGTTAACTCTCTTTCTTGGCGTAATAGATCTCGTTCTTCCTGCAGAAGTTAAAGCTTCATTTTTGTTTTTCTGCTTGTTGATGAGGAACTTTTTAAGGAGGTTGCAGAACAAGATTTCTTGATTTTGGCACCTTGTCGGTGAGACTTCTTAGTGGCTGCGTCTACACAAAGAGGGCACTTCTAGCTGTCATCACCAATTACTTCGGAATCATCCTGTACATTTACGCATTCAAAACAGCACCATT